TTTCTACCAAAATGGATATTGGAACTGACCGATGCTTTAGAACTCAAGACACAGAGGTACGAGCCTACAGAACAGATCCTGTCCAAGTAGATCGTGGAACGGACCGATGCTGAGAATGAGTCAATCAATGTCACCTACGATGGAAAAAGCTGCAAGGAGGAGTTAAGAAGGAGAATGGAAATTGATTAACTAGCGTACGAATATTCTCAGCTCAGGACCGGACATGATATTAAAAGCAGTTCTGTAGTCCGGACTGAGAACAGAAACTTCAAAACTAAGCAAAATTAGAAGAGCAAACTGTACTCACACCCTTGTGGTTTGGGCTTAACCCCCCAAACAACAAAAAAGTGAACTTCAACTCCATATGGTTTGAAAATGTGCACTTAACCCTCAAAATTATGAAAATGTACTTTTGACCCCTTATGGCTTGAAAAATATGCACTCAACCTCTAAGTGTTTTTTCAGATCTCACCCTTAATATTAATCCATTTGGGAATCAAGTGCACATTTTGCAAATCACAAGGGGCTACAGCACATTTTTCAATCTTTTAGGCGGTTAAATACACATTTACAAAGAATTAGAAGATTATATGCACTTTTTCATAATTTTGGGTACTGAGTGCACTTACCCCAAACCACGTTAGAGGTAGGTACAATTTCTCCAAATTAAAATACATATATTTTGCATCGGGCCGACATAAAGAAAACGCGTCCACTCACCGATGTCAAAAAGCATTTGTTTTAGGCAAAACTCAAAATTTAAGGACATGAGTTTTCACCAAAATTTAAAATTGTGATTACATGTTTTAATTGTTTTGAATTAAGGATAAGTTCTTTGCTGTAGCTGGAAATAAAGATAATTTGAACAAAAATTTAGCCTGTGATATCACACAAATTCGATTCATTTCAATTCAATCATTTTTTAATTTTCAATCTAACAAGTAACATTAAGTGAAACATGATTTTAATTGCATTACATATATGATGTTATATGATAATTTCCTTCAAATTATTCTTGTTAAATATTGAAAAGTGAAGAGACCTTTGGCTTGCAAACTCCCATCAAGTTTCCATGAAAACAAGTCTAATCTCTTATGATATCGCCTCAAACACGTTTAGGCCAACCAAAGTATCATAGATTGGAGGCTAAGCTATTCACATAACCATTTACTAACTTGTGTGTATGTAATGTAGCATGAGTCTTAAGGGGATAGGTTTAAATATTTAAAATTTTGAGATTTTAAGTTGGAGATTTCATATTCAAACTTTAAATTAGATAGATGAGACATTTATAAAAAGAGAAAAACTATTTCTTAATATATAATTTATCATCAAATGTACTAAAAAATATTATGTAACATGAAATTATGCACATACAAAATTAATCAATGATAAAGTAGAACCCTTCTTATTGACCTAGACACGAATTTCGGTGAATCAATTTGCATGTCTATTTTTAATGATTTGTTAAAGCATCTTTCTAACATGTGGGCACATATTGATGATATATTTATTGCATTTTTTATTATTAATATAAATAATTATAAAATAAATTTTATTTTCAATATTAATATTACGTAAATAATTTATTTAGATAATTAATAAAAATTAAATTATTTTTTATGCAAATTAATGATAAAGAAGTGTAATAAACCTAGTTTTGAGACACAAAGTAGAAATTTCCTTTGTTAAATTATAATTACTTTATTAAAGGTAAGTGCAATTTCCCCAAATTAAAACACATACATTTTGCATCACGCGAAAGCAATTATAGTCTAGCCAATAGTGACTAGAGTCAAACGCGTCTTCTTTATGCAGGACCCAAATTTAACGACATGAGTTTTCACCAAAAGTTAAAAGTGAGACTACATACTTCATTTGTTTCGAAACAAGAATAAGTTCTTTGTAGCAGTACGAAATAAAGATAATCTAGATAAAACTTGACATGTGATATCACAAAAATTGGCTTTTATTGGGGTTCAACCTACCCGCTTCTTTGTTTGCTCCGTTTAAAATATGAAGTTACTTGTAGTACTCCTTAATAAATTTCTAATCAATCATTGATTCAAGAATATTAATTCAAGGGATTGATTCAAGAATATTAAGCGTTAGTATAACAGAGTGTTGAGGGATGAATTTATATGGCTATAAAATTAATGATATGTGCGCCTCCATGTTAATAAATGCTCACATGACTTGTTTTTCACATTGGACATGTAATTCTTGCTTTCTGTTGATTATTGCAATAGAGTCAGCATTGTTAGAAATGACATTTATCTACTTTGCTAGAAACATTGCAGAATGTAGTTTGCATCAACAATATATTTTTATAAACATGACTAGATATGGCTAGACTTATTCCAATGACATGGCTGGATGTTTTTTATGGTCATATCCTTTGCAGCGATATTCACTGTTGTGTCTTGTGACTCCTAGAAATGGATAAAGAGTCAACTTTGCTACACAGACATAGCTCCCATCAACGAACAACTTGCCACATCTACATAACGCCGAGCGATGGACAAAAGACTAGATTCGTTATCTCATTTAGCCTCCAGCAATGGGTAAAAAGCTATATGTCTTTATATATCTTCATTACACCAACTCCCAGCAATGGACAAAGGGTAAGATTTCTACATATTTTTATCTCATTGGCTCTCGAAAACGGACAAAGAGTTAGCGCAACTCGAAACGATTAGCGTGAGGCCAATAACAGTTGCAACCTTGCGATCAGATGGGATAGCTACCCTCTAGCGATAAAAATCCATCAAGTAGCGGCTGACGATCCCTTGATGGTCGCCCGTGCATGGTGGTGCAGTGCCTGATGAGCAACAACAACCAGGACCATCCTCTGACGGTGTGGGTACGACAAGAAGGGCCAGCGTTTGTCAATAGTATCACACTTTGTCGTATCGGAGGCCATGGATGTGGCTGGTGTCCCCCTTCCATACAGACAACTCCACCTTTCTTTATCACATATTCATCGCTACGGTGGACTCTAGCTTAATAAGATTTACCCCTTCGCGACTCGGTGAATTAGTGGGAGTGGTCTTCCTATTCTACATAGTTCATGCTCCAGTCATGGACAAAGTTAACCACTGTTATCCCTCGAGCTATAAGGAAGCTATTCATGGTTGACCTTGTAATACTTATACAACATGGCCGGTGGTCACACACATCATCACTCTTCTATGCAAAGGAACAAAATTACTAGTCGCCGATAATCCCAGCTCATAATCTACACCTTTTATGTTTTACGTGTTAGCAGGCATCGTCGACTAACAATGCTTAACTCGGGACAACAATATCGTAGCACACACCAAAATCACTTATTCCTTATTTTGGCACAATGCCAAACATATACAGCACCAATATATTAGTGCTTGCCATGGCTAGCAAGCAAAAAGGCGCAGTGAGCATTCATCCTCATTGCCCCCTTTAATACACAAGGGAGTATCATTCTTTGCTACATAAGTCCATACGCTTTACACTTAAATATTTGAATATCTATTCATTTGTATCTTGCTCATGGGAATTATCCAGGATAAACAATGGAAATAATGGCTTGGTAGGTATGGATGGATGAACGTTGCCCATTTAATGAAGCAAGGTATTTGTGCCAACAAAGCTTGGCGTCGACGATGTTGCTTGACTTAGCTAGAAAGGAGCTGGGTTGCAAAGACGTGAAAGTGAACTTGATTCCCAAAACAGTATCCTTTGTTGTTAACTAGAAGCTTGAAATCCCATTAAAAGATTAACTAGAGATGTTGTTCTAGTCACCGTCAACAAGTTGCAGCTATATTTAATGTAAGGGTAGCTGCACAAGTTCTATGACCTTGGAAACTACTAAAAAATATTGCTTTTTGCTTGAAAAATCTTCCAAAATCTTGTGCAGACCTTGGGGAACCTGCCAAAATCCTTTGCAGGTATCGTTTTTGCCGGCTGCACTCAAACACCTCCTTAAAAATAGAATTTTGTATGGCTAGAGGAATTACCAGAAATAAGCAGTTTTCAGTCCATCATTGGAACCAACGAAGTTTTGCCAGAACCACTAGGTAATTCATGATATCACTACCAGAAAGTTGTCAGCAGTGTCCAAAGCCACTAAAAACTTGACAACTCACTCAAGTATACCTGGTAGCCACGGAACACCTTTAGCCCATTAACCAAAAAATTACAAAAATATCATTACAGTTGTATATATTATTTTTCCTTCACTTTTGGGTAGGAGGGGATAGATTCTCCCCTCCCAACTTTCTTCCTCACGTACCAAACTTCTATTTTTCCTCTGAAAACTTCTTCATCTTCAACCTCTCACCCTACACACCAAAGTCATCTAGAAATCGCCATTAGCTTCATATTTTCTACACTTTCTACACTACAAAATAATTTCCAAACTTGCAACACATTATGGCTGGGAGGCAGCATGCTTCAGTTTTAGTTTCTGGGTAATTTTTCTTGAGCATCAGAGGACCAAGTTGCAAGGTTAGCATTAAAAACGAGATCAAGCACTCCACTCACAAGCCCCCAAGTGGTCATCCTTCCTTCTCCCATCACTATTTCTAAGTTTATTTCTTTTGTTCTTAAAAGAGCTTCAAAAGAGGGTTGTTGTATTTTCCATTTGCAATATGAAGGTTGTTCGATACAAAGTGAGGATATTTACTAGAGATGATAGAGGGCATATTTATTGTCATTATTATTATGTCACAATATTTTATGTGTAAATGTGCTTCTCAAGTTGTAACCTTTGATTCTCATGTATTTTCTGTCATTGTTACTCTTGTTATGATGGTTCACTTTCCTCCTATTTATACTCTTTTGATAGTTGTGTAATCATTCCCAGCTCTTGAAATCCCACAATTTTTTTTTTTTTTTTGCTCAATTTCCTTCTTCTCGATCAGCTTGGCTAGGAAATCCATAATTTCAAACACTGCTGGAGATTTGCTGTTGGCCAATATCCTCGGACGAAACAAGATGGCCAATGGCACGTAGCCTCTCGCACGTGAAACAGGTGTTGCCAAAAGGACCTTCCTCATTCTCTTGTATGTCATCCTAATCAGCCTCTATATCATCACCACTATTGACTGATCAGCCTACATCACCAACACACTCTCAACACATAGTTCATTCTATTAATTTTTTTTTTGAATCTAAAAGTTTATTTTTTAATTAATATTTTTAAAAATTAATTATATGGTTAAAAGTTTTATTTATGTAAAATATATATGTTAATTTTTATATTAATTTAATACTTATAACTCTTTTAATTAAAAAAACTCTATTTATTAACATATATCTATTAAATTTTGCATAATTAACAAATTAATTAGGCCCATTAGATGAACCTAAAAATTGATTTATATCATTTGTATGAATAAAACTTTTAATCTAATAGTTGATTTTTAAAAATATTAATTAAAACATGAGTTTTTGAATAATTACTTTAAAAATAATTTGAAATGACAAATTTGTAAAACACTTTTTCTTATTTATAAAGATATCTATTATAAAATACTTAAAACTTCATGCAACAAATTGCCTAGGCTTAATTCAATGATTAGGCTATTAACTATCAACTTAATTTTATTTTAGTCTAGAAAGTTAATTTTCTTTTTAGATGATCTATAAATTTTGTAAAATATTTCAGAATAATATACTATACAAAACTTTTATTAGTTTTAATAGAAAAATAACAAAAAAATTAAATCAAAATTAAAATAAAGTAGTTTCAACCAATAAAGTAGTTTCAACTAATAAAGTAGTTTCAACCAATAAAGTAGTCTATCATAAATTGTACAAGCTATTAAAGTATTTCAAAAATTGTGGTTTCTACTACAGAGGAGAATCGTCAAAAGGAAAAGTTGAAGCAATATATAATAAAGGCTATAGTTTTTGAAACAATGAAAAGAAATTTATTATCCTCACAAAATTAGTTTTTATCTCAAATTAATTTCAAGGAGTAAAAATTTATAAAAGATATAATTTAAAATCAATTTGACTAAACGGAGTGAAACCATTGTTAGAAAGTTAATAGATTAGATTAAACTGAAATAAAAATAATAACTAATAAATAAATATGAAACTATCTAAAAATAGTAAAGGAAATAGAAAAAGTTACAAAAATTACTAGACTATTTATTAAATTAAACTAAATAGCCTAAGAAAAACTATTCTTTTCTTGGGAAAGGCTTATTCCACGGAAAAATTAAAGGCAATCACATGAGAACTCCTAATTAATAATGTATTTCTTATTAAACAAAAATTTAATTTAAAGACTAACATACCAACCCGAACAACAATAATCGAGCTAGCTAGCATATTTTACTTTACTATGGTGGTGACTATTATCAAAAGATTATGGGTGCATTTGAAATTATTATAAGGTATTGTAACTATAACTGTAATTATATTTATAATTATAATTGTGATGGTATTAAATTGTATCGTATAATACTTGTAGTTATGTTGAATTTTACTGTATTGTAACTGTAACTCTGCTGAACTTTATTGTGTTGTAATTACAGCTATGCTAAACTGTGTTATGTTATAATTATGACTGAAAGTTATTTTGGTATTTGATTACTCATTTTTTAAAAGTATTATTAATAAAATATAATAAATTTTATTAATTATTTTAAAAATATTATATGATGTATAATTATTAAAATAGATAAAATTTACTACTTAATAATTTAGGTTTTTAAAGTTTCTCATAATGGATTTTTTTTTGGTTTTGCAAGAGAGCAACTCATAAGGGCAAAATGAGTTTTTATTTTTTTATGAAATCTTCAAAGAAACGAGAGATTAAGTTTAAATAAAATATTATAAATTATAATATAATAAAATTAAACAAGATTGAGTTTTAATGATAATTTTATAATTGTATTATATATTAAATGTTGTCCATAAAAATCACAAGTAGAAAGTTTCAAAAATATAGTTTTTAATTTTATATATAAAATTACTATAAATCTACTATAATTTTTTATAGTTTTTTAAAAAATAATTTTAAAAAAATTATCAAACACATACATATTTAGAAACATACTGCTGTATAATTATAAGAAAAAGCTTTCAACTATAATTCCAAAAGTACTCATGTCACATTGACAAATATTGCGCAACATAATGTCCACCACTTCTGATTTCTCGTTGAAAATCGCCAATGGCCTAATATATGGATGGCGAGAATTTAGGAGGTGTTTTGGGTGCGAGTAAGTTGAGGAGACCCTAAGAAAATGAGGAAAAATAAAAGATTACTTTTATCGGGGTTCAACGTCCGGCTCCTTTGTTTAATTCGTTTAGAATAAGAAGTTACTAATAGTACTCATTAACAAACTTCGAATCATTCATAAGATTAGGAATATTAATTCAAATAATTTTTGTTTTAATGACCAATTAAGAGATTACTCGCATTCCCCTGTTGTGGTCTATTGGTGGCCACTGCAGCCCAATAAGACTACCGGTGGATTGTACCCCTGATTAGTAGTCGAATCTTGTCAAGAACATATACTAACCTAACTTCTAACTCCTAACTTTTAATCATTTCCCTTGTCAAAAAAAAAAAAAATTAAGAGACCACTCGGTATAATAAGTTAAAATTAATGGTTAGTTATTTCATTTATAATATATTTAGGTTGAAGGGAATGAATGGGGGAAGAGAGGAGGAAAAAGTTTTTTAATTAATTAAATTATAACGTTTTTAGATATTGCAATCTAATTAGTTAAAAAATCTTTCTCTCCTTTTCAAATCAAACATAATGTAAATTTAATGGATAAAAGTATTTGAATCATTAATAATACTAACTATTAATTATTAAATTAAACAAAATTATTAATCACTAGCTTTAAATTATTGTTAATGATCTAAATAATTCAATAGTAATCTCCTTTCGTTGGAAATAAGAGATTCCGAATTTGAGTTGTATGGTATGGGGGTAGAGTAGGATAAGAGATGGGAAAGAATTGCCTTCCGTTATACAACCACTATAAAAAAAATTTTTATTATATTAAACAATCCTTAAATAGACTATTTAAGGATATAAATTGCATTTTTGATATCTCTAGAGAGATTTTGAGAAATATTTTTTTGATCGGTAGAGAAAAATGATGTACAAAGATCACTCTTGCCTATTCCAACAAATGAGCAATTTACGTGTAGAAGGCTATGAAAATCTTAATAATCCCATTCTAAAGATTTTGAGATTTATTGATGGAAAAAGAGGATTGTTGTTGACCACTGTATTTTTTTTACATGTTTCACTTCTTACGTACGTTTGCATTCTCCGCATAGCTTTGGGTTGTTTTCGTGGCACAGATCTATTATTATCATTTTTATGTTTTTTTTTTTAATGGACGTTCGTACATATTTAGGCTTTTGCTTGACCAATTTTATATGTACCATACAAATTATTGTATCCATAAATATTGGATAAAACTTTATATAAAAAGTGACAAGCACTCAAATGGTGTTAAAAGAGATACAAATATGTACTCTCAGCATGGTCCAAATAATTCCCTAATTACTGGAGCCAATTTTCAACAAACTGAAATTTGAAATGTTATTTATATCTCTTTTATCCTAAAACAACAGTAATATAAAATTTTTTAACATTTTTCACAAATTAAGTGTTTAGAGATATTTTTCGCATTTACTTAAAGATGAATAAAATATTTTATGATAAGATCAATAATTAAAGTTAATCAATAACAATAGAGTTAAAATATAACAAAATAATTGTTTACCTTAGATAATAAGAAAACAACAATAAATTTGAGACAAAATTTGAGTAAGAGAACAAAAGGTATTTTGGAAACTGATCAAGTAAATACCAAGTCATATAACATCTACAGATTCTACACACATGAAATTCAGCCTATTCGCATCTCATGGATTAGGATTTACACGAAAATACATTAAAAACCCAACAAAATAAACCAACTTAGTTGCTGTGTTCAAACTCATTGATAACATATCAACATCAAGTGAACGTCTCACACATGTCAATCACGCTTAAAGATCTACACACCTCATATGTTGTAGGACAAGATTTTAAGAAAAACATCACACAAAGTTCACCAATACAAGACTATCATGTAACATTAAACCTGCCAGCCCTAGGTATTGAAGATTGTGTGACTATTGCTACCCAAGCTGCCAAATCTCCTAAAAAAGATGAGGAAAAGAGAAGATATTAAGAAAAACGATACAGGGAAACATGGCTTTAGAATTCAGATATCCCTAGTAAATAAGAGGAGTAAAAGATAAGGAAAAAGTGTTGTGTAGTCCAGATTATACTAAACTGTACAACACCAACCATTAGATGGAGTTAGATCCCTTCATATTAGGGGCCCTTCCCCATCTAATGGTCTTTGGTTTACAGTTCAGTTTGGTCTGAATTGTAAAACAAGATTACCGAAAGATAATTCCAAAATACCAATAATTATAAAAGGTAGACATACCTAATTAGTACTAATGAACTTAAGTTTTGTTTAGTTGAAATCAATAATTATTTCTTGATCAAATTAAAAAAAATAAGATTATTAAATTAAATAAAGAGCATAATAACTGAGAAATCCATATTCTCAACTCCATACCATTTTTCTTATGGTAAGCACAGGAAGGTCCCTCTTCCAACCGACCAAAAGAGAAATGGTTCAACTTAAGAATATGCATTACTTAATTACCATGATCTTTACTTAATTAAATTATCTTATTTTCTAATTTGTTCAAGGAATAATATTGATGAACTAAACTTGATTGATCATTATAATCCTCCCATTGCAGCTGCATAATTTGATTGAAACAAATAATGAGAGCCAGATTAGGAAAAAAAAAGTAGCCATACCATCTCAGTACTATTAATGCCAAAATATTCAAGAAAAAGTTGACATACCATCTCAGTACTGAAACTAGTGAAGTCATCCATTTCAATGAAATCATCCATTGGCATCTACAATTTAATAGAAACAGATAAAGAGCAAAAACATTATGATAGTGAGATAGTTAACACATTAAGATCAACATAATGAACAAAAACATCCTTTCTAAGAAGTAGCTAAAGAAAGGAGAACATGAGAAGATATTCACAAAATATGAGGGCAAAAGTATTAATTCCAAAATATTCAATAAAAAACAGACATACCAACTCAGTATTGAAGCTAGTGAAGTCATCCATTGGCATCTACAATTTAATAGAAGCAGATAAAGAGCAAAAACATTGTGATAGTGAGAGAGATATTCATAAAATAAGAGGGTAAAAGTATTAATGCCAAAATATTCAAGAAAAAAGTCAACATACCATCTTAGTACAGAAGCTAGTGAAGTCATCCATTTCAATGAAATCATCCACTGGCATCTACAATTTAATAGAAGCAGATAAAGAGCCAGATTACATAGCGGTAAAAACATGAAGCATAGCCCTTAGCCTATAAAGTCTAAAATTTTGACTGATATAATCAAGTTCTTTCATTAGCACAGTCTATACAATCGCTATATACAAGGGGGGGAAAGAGGAGATATGAAGAAAAACATGAATTCATAACAACCAGAGAAAAGGAAACGTATGGCTCCAAATTGAGAAGATATTCCCAAAATATGAATATTAATAAAAGGTAGAAATAATTGGTCAGCAGTGAAGCTATTGAAATCATCCATTAGCAACTACAATTTAAAAGCAGCATAGAAAGAAGCAGATTAATATATATAAAAACATGAAGCATCCCATAGCATATACAATTAACAGAAACAGAAACATAATTAAGACTTGAGAGAGCCAGAGTAGTAGCTGTAAAAACATGAAAAAGATTCTTTTATCCATTCCTCTTAGCCTTAGAAGTCTAGAACTTTGACTATGTCCTCAAGGTTTTCATTAGCACAGTCTATAAAAGTTGTAGAACTTACTGCATCTTGGTTAACAATGTCATTCGTGGCATCTTGATTAACATGCTCATTTGTGGTGGCTTCCTTGATATTTTGGAGCCTTAGCCTCACATTCTACAATTCAAAAATAGATAAGATGAAGATTCAACAAAATGACTAGCAAAAGAGAGTTGGAGAAAAATAGAGATTTGTTCTTTGCATTCCATTATTCATCTTTTGAAAATAGAAAATTTTCAAACTTTAAATGTTTGCAAATGTCCTTTATCAAGGATATTCCAAAAATATTATATTTTAATTATTATTTTTAAAAACCAACTCATACATGTTAATTTTCAGATTGATTTAGTAAGTCTAACTAGTTTGTTGATTAAACAAAATTCAATATTGTTAAATGTATGTCAACAAATAGTTTATTATTATTATTATTAAAGGGTTGTAAATGTTAAATAAATTTAAAATTGATGTGTATGATTTACATGAATAAAATATTTAATCCAATTATTGTTTTTGAAAATATTAAATATAATGTGAGGCTTTAGGGAGGGAGGTACTTTAAAAAAATTGTTGGGACAACAGCCTCATAAATTTTCTACAGAATAAAATTGTGGTAACTTACTTTATAGTGAGGAGACTCATTCACGATAGCTTCCTCGCCTCCAAGGGTAGGAATTTGACCATCAAACAAAGATCCAAACTGAAGGAAACATGTTTTGTGAAAGAGAGGTCAATGGACAACTTGAAAAACAAAGTGAAATCGAGCCCACAAGAGTTCGCATAAGCCAAATATAGATGATCATACATCACCTTGAATGCAAAAAAAAAAAAAAAATTAATCTATTGAGTTCTTGGACCTCCACATATATATTTCACTTATTCTAATCATGTGTTTTTCATTTGGGTACCACCGCTACTCACTTACTAAACCCAAAATATAAGCTAGCTAGAGTTAACACATTATGAGCAAAAATATCCATTTAAAGAAGTAGCTAAAGAAAGGGGAACGTGAGAAGATATCCACAAAATAACAGGGTAAAAGTATTACTTCCAAAATATTCAAGAAAAAGTAGACATACCATCTCAGTACTTAAGCTGGTGATGTCATCCATTGGCTTCTACAATTTAATAGCAGCAGATAAAGAGCAAAAACATTATGATCAACATAATGAGCAAAAACATCCATTCTAAGAAGCA